TACGCTCCTTATTGATTTCCTATGTGCTCAGAAATCCTGTGCACTAAGGCCTGCTCACTGTCTGAACCAATACCTTGCTTCTTGGGACTGGAAGCTCCGCTGGTTGTGAAACACAGTATCCATGAAAATTAGATTTGGGGGCAGGAAGTCTCACTGCTGGACACGAATCAATGAGATGGGATTTTGGCATTGATAAGTATGGTAGAATTTCAAATCTTTCAACAACGAGCACCTAGTTATAAAGGAGAATCTGTCTCTGACTAATGAATATGTTTAAGTACACCTGAAAAGAAACTAAACATATTTTGCTTGCTAATTCTTTCCTTCACTTAAGAAACATTGAAGTTTTACAGGCGCACGTTCAACTCCTAGCTCTTCCTTCTTTCTGTCTCTCTCTTTTTTTTTTTTCTTTTAAAGAGAGGAGGGATGGCCCAGTGGTTACGGTACTAGCCTGAGACTTAGAAAACATAGATTCAAGTCCTTGCTCTGCTCCATGCTTTCTGTGTGACAAGTCACATAGCCTGTCTGCCTCAGTTAATTTACCAGTGTGTTGTGAGGATAAATGCATTAATGACTGAAACACACACTGATACAATAGTGATTGGGCCATATAAGATTTTTCAAACTGCAGAACTGACAGTTAGTTTGCTGTTTTGTTTCTTAGTTATTTCAGCTCAAAGTTTCCATAATAAAGCATCTTTTCACACCTCAATCCAGCTGAAATATGTCAGTTTTAACTGAATGAGTCTTTTCCAAGACAAGATAATCAACTTGCAGAAAAAGAGATTCAAATTCTAGGACATGAACAACTCTGAAGATTCCTGAACATGTTTGCGGGTGTGACAGTGACCAGTTTACATGGGTTTTTATGGCCTGTCTTACTTGAACACATCAAGGCCTTTACTGAGATCCTGAAACACATCCCAAATTGCCTTTGTTGCTATTTCTGTAATAAACAAACTCATGTTGAAGCTTTAGTGGCAATCATCCAACAACCCCCAAATAGGATTCAGTTCAGTAGATATAAGCAAAAGGCCACAATAACACAGAAGCAATGAATCTGAGGACTATAAGTGATGTCAATTAGGACCATGTACGTCAATTAGGATCATTAGCACGTCAGTTCAGCTGGAGAATATAAAAGGCAGACTCTTCCCGCATTATCTTTTTTATCTGAAGTTAACCTAAAATTCCACCCATCTCCCTGGAGCCCTGAGTTGAATGGATTTTATACCATTACAGGGTATCTGCAGAATCCCTTGATCTTTAATCCACCAATTCAGATGCTGGGACTTTTATGGGACAGAAACAGCATTTAAAAGGCAGAGAGGCCTTGTGCTTATAGTAAAGTGCTAGGAAGCAGGAGAATCTTGCTTTTAAATCCAAGCTGTGCCACTCAGAGTACAGCCATAAGGAAGTCACTTTATTTCTGTATAGTTCAACACAGTTTGTGAATTTGGTGAAAGATATCCCTGAATACCATATTCTGCTGAATTGAGCTATTTTAAATAAAAACTTACCTTTGTTAAACACCTGTCAACACTTGTTCCTGCAGGAAGTTCCACAGTCCATAATGCAAGGTCTGTACACTACAGACAAAACTCTAGTATTCTGAGAAAGTTAGGCCCAGGCCAATTAGGAGTTTGCACATACCCATAATCTGTCTGAAACAGGCAGGGCAGGAATTAATTCTTCTCTTTTACTACACATCTGGAGGAATCATAATGCTTTTTTTTTACCAGGTGAATCTGATATACGTGTAGGGCTTGCTTGCTTATTACAAAAAGCTGCTACATTATGCCAATTTAGGGGAGCTCAACGTAGGGAGTCACAAACCTCCAACAGGTGTTAGGTTTTGAGCCACACTGCCTTTCCCATATTGCTCAATGTGGTATTGGAGATTGCCCAAGTTTGAGAACCACAGTACTAAATGAAAAGGAGTACTTGTGGCACCTTAGAGACTAACCAATTTATTTGAGCATGAGCTTTCGTGAGCTACAGCTCACTTCATCGGATGCATATCGTGGAAACTGCAGCAGACTTTATATACATACAGAGATCATAAAACAATACCTCCTCCCACCCCACTGTCCTGCTGGTAATAGCTTATCTAAAGTGATCATCAAGTATTTAGCTTCATTCTTTTCAAAAAAATTTCAGTTCCACTCATTTTATACTAGGTCTACCTTCCTGAATTTGTACAGCTCCTGTTCTATTCTAACAATATCAGAATAAAAGATTCTGTAACAATCAACAAAAAATTACACACAAAACTAAAACCTTTTAAACAGAACACCCCACTGAACAAACATTTAAATAACTGATACATTGAGAAAAATGTGATCACACTATAAAACTGTCTGTTTATCAAGGTCAGCTGTAAACCTAATATTGCTAAGTATACAGTCAGTTATGAAGTGTGCCATGTTGGTTCCACTCTCTCCCTCCACACAGGTAGTTCTCTTTGGCCTGATTCTGTTTTACTTACCACAATTTTACACTGGTGTAACTCCATACACTACAGTAGAGTTACTCTCAATCTACACTCATGTAAATGAGATCACAATCAGGATCTCCAGGCCCAAATTCCCGTTGCTATGGTCCTCTTTGTGCCATGTAAGAGAGAATTTTAAGGCCCATAGAAAGGATCAGCACCTAAGCAAATTATCTGCGTCATTAAGCAGAATGAATGATCACAACTTCACAGATTTTTGTAAAAAGAAAAGGAGTACTTGTGGCACCTTAGAGACTAACAAATTTATTAGAGCATAAGCTTTCGTGAGCTACAGCTCACTTCATCGGACGCATACAGTGGAAAATATAGTGGGGAGATTTTATATACACAGAGAACATGAAACCATGGGTGTTACCATACAGACTGTAACAAGAGTGATCAGGAAAGGTGAGCTATTACCAGCAGGAGAGCACGGAGGGGGGGGGGGCAGGCGGGACCTTTTGTAGTGATAATCAAGGTGGGCCATTTCCAGCACTTTACAAGAACAGTAGGAGGGGAAATAAACAAGGGGAAATAGTTTTATTTTGTGTAATGACACATCCACTCCCAGTCTTTATTCAAGCCTAAGTTAATTGTATCCAGTTTGCAAATTAATTCCAATTCAGCAGTCTCTCGTTAGAGTCTGTTTCTGAAGGTTTTTTGTTGAAGAATTGCCACTTTTAGGTCTGTAATCGAGTGACCAAAGAGATTGAAGTGTTCTCCGACTGTTTTTTGAATGTTATAATTCTTGACGTCTGATTTGTGTCCATTTATTCTTTTATGTAGAGACTGTCCAGTTTGGCCAACTGTGTCCACATATCTATTCAGGGGACACCATCATAGGGCCTAATCACATCAGCCACACTATCAGAAGCTCGTTCACCTGCGCATCTACCAATGTGACATATGCCATCATGTGCCAGCAATGCCCTTCTGCCATGTACATTAGCCAAACTGGACAGTCTCTACGTAAAAGAATCAGTGGACACAAATCAGACGTCAAGAATTATAACATTCAAAAACCAGTTGGAGAATTCTTCAATCTCTTTGGTCACTCGATTACAGACCTAAAAGTGGCAATTCTTCAACAAAAAAACTTCAAAAACAGACTCCAACGAGAGACTGCTGAATTGGAATGAATTTGCAAACTGGATACAATTAATTTAGGCTTGAATAAAGACTGGGAGTGGATGTGTCATTACACAAAGTAGAACCATTTCTCCTTGTTTATTTCCCCTCCTACTGTTCTTGTAAAGTGCTGGAAATGGCCCACTTTGATTACCACTACAAAAGGTTTCTCCCCCCACCCCCACTCTCCTGCTAGTAATAGCTCACCTTTCCTGATCACTCTTGTTACAGTCTGTATGGTAACACCCATGGTTTCATGTTCTCTGTGTATATAAAGTCTCCCCACTATATTTTCCACTGTATGCATCCGATGAAGTGAGCTGTAGCTCACGAAAGCTTATGCTCTAATAAATTTGTTAGTTTCTAAGGTGCCACAAGTACTCCTTTTCTTTTTACGGATACAGACTAACACGGCTGCTACTCTGAAACCAGATTTTTGTAATGTCTGCAGTGAGGCAACTGTGAAGTGATGTGGTAGGAGCCTCCCCTACTGGGAAGCTATGAAGCAGTTGTATCCAGTCAGAGGATGTTTTTTTTTAAGGGCAGGTATAGTAAGCTGATATACTGGGAGTGACTGGGTCATTACACATATTGAATCTATTTCCCCATGTTAAGTACCCTCACACCTTCTTGTCAACTGTCTAAATGGGCCATCTTGATTATCACTACAGAAGTTTTTTTCTTCTGCTGATAATAGCTCATCTTAATTAATTAGCCTCTTACAGTTTGCATGGCAACTTCCACCTTCTCTGTATGTGTATATATATCTTCTTACTATATGTTCCATTCAATGCATCCGATGAAATGGGCTGTAGTCCTCGAAAGCTTATGCTCTAATAAATTTGTTAGTCTCTAAGGTGCCACAAATACTCCTGTTCTTTTTACTGAAGACCCTGCCACACATCCAATGAGTAATTCTGAAGTGACGGAATTGGGTTGCAGCATTCTTGGTAAACAATTTTAGCAAGTCTGTAATGAGAGTCTTGAGTAAGTCCAATTATTACTATCACTGTCTGCTTAATGCAGGAGAAGGAGTTATGATGATTTAACAAATAAATACAAAAGGTTTGTAAATGTTCCTCCAGTAAAGAATGCATGAATAGGGCATTTCACTATTTTTATTCTATGTTAAAATGCAAGAGAAGCATTACTGAAAAACAAAACCACTAAAGAAAGGAATTTGGCTTATCTTTGCTTGATCAGATTTGGGTGAGGGGAAGAAACGTTAAACAATTAGGTTTACAGGAACGGACAGTATTCCTTTGACTAGTTTTCAGTTTATGGGCAGCCTTTAAAATATATTCTTTGTATAAACAAGCACTGGAACTGCAAGTGTGCTTGATACCCCAACATTACAAGTCTTTGCGTTTTTATTCAGATAACTGTGCATAGGGGATGGTCCCCATAAGATGAAGGCTCAGTACCGTGGGGCGATGCTCACCCTCAACTCTCAGTGAGTTCAACAGGAGCTGAGAGTACGTGGTGCCTCATAAGGTAAATTCCAATACTGGTTCAAGGCCTGCCACTGTTGTTCAGTCTATCCAGGTTTTTTGTATATGCATTTTTGTGATGTTAAGGGGAGCTATGAGTGTTGCGTTAATGCCACTGACAGGGCAATATGCCAGGGGCTCTTACACCTTGATTTCTATACTATCCCAACTGTGAATTATTTTTCATATAAGTCTTAAGCTGGATTGAATGCTTCTAACTGAGCATGATCCCCTTGCTTATGATGTTATTTATATTCAGAGATCGAAGCCAGAAAACTAGGTTATCCATTTATGAACAATATAATCACTTATTGATGGTCAGGGATTAAGAGTTGATAACCAGATGTTATGTAGGACACTGTACCAAAGCAGGAGGAGAAGATGGAGACATAAAGCACAGTTTGTTCTCAAGGGAAACTGTGACAATGATCATCATCATTATGAGTAAACCAAAGTGAACAGTTATGAGGTTCTTATTCCTACTCTGTGGCTAGCTGTGGCTTTACACCAAGTAATGTACGATCTAACTAAACTGAATGTAAATTCTACAGCAGTTTTCACTGAGTTATTGTTATAAACTACCCAATAAATTGTCACTTAATCCCCACCAAAACATCCAGGATATACAAACAGCATAAACAATAACAGTTTAATGTATTTTACAGTGAAGACATCAGATAACTGCTTTATCAGACATACGAACCAGGAATACTTCACACTAAATCAATTTTGCACCAGTAACCTGATCTCTGCAACATTCATTGCTGCTAAGCTTTCTTGCCATTAATTAAATCAGGAATTGTGCTGGTATAAAATAAATGCACCATCCCATTCATACACTGCCTGTTCAAGAGGAAACAGCTTTCATAGCAGGGTTTGAGATGAGACAAACTCTCCTCTTCCCACTCATTCCCTTTCAATTGCCAATGGTCAGTTTTATAAAATCCCATCGCAGCATTGACTGCCATTCTCCAGCAGATTTTTGATTTTATTTCTGCTGGTGTTCATAAGACAAATTACTGGGATCGTGGACTCAGTCTGTCCACTACATGTATCTTTGGAGCAGCCATGTAGAATAACAAATGTCATCTACTATCTTTTTGTGCAATACGAAGTTCTAGCTGATTTTGTCAGTAATCCAAAGGATCTACAAATTGTAGTACACTGCTGCTTAGATCAGGGATGGGCAACTGGAGAGCAGGGGGCTTCATCCAGCCAACCAGATCATTTCATTTGGTCCGCCAGAGTCCCAGCTCAGGACAGAAGGTCTGGCAGCACCAGGGCTAAGAGGGGGGTATGGCAGGGTGGGGCATCGCGGGGGGGAAGGCCGGCCTGCACATATGCATGTATCACATACCCTGTGGCGAGATCCAATGGGCTGGAGCAGAGAGCTGTGTCCAGCACCGTAGGATCAGAGCTACTGCTATAGGGTGAGTGCAGGGCGGGTTCGCTCTCTAACCCTGCCTGCTTGGGGCCTCCCACAACCCAGGGACAAGGCACTCTCCCACTCAAGTTATCCTTCCCCTGGGGGCAGGACCCAACACTCCCCGACCCACCAAAGAATTTTAGTGGATTTTGTGGCCCTCTAGTACCTTTCAAGTTGCCAATCCCTGACTTAGATGGTTATATTATTAGGCCCAGTGTTGAAACCTGTGTACGCATACAATCTAAATGGACCAAGGACAGGAGAAACAGATCTGAAGTACCTTGGTTAGGCACCCCCTCCTCTCAGTTTCACCAGTGTAAATTATAAATTAGTTTAACTGAAGTCAACAGAATTACACAAGCCAATGTAAGATGAAAATCAGGCCCTAATCTTAGGCCTGGTCTACACTCAGTGTTTGTACAAGTATAATTATTTTGGTTAGGATGTGATTTTTTTTTTTTCTGAAAGTTATATACCAGTATGGTCCATAGTGTGGACACAATTATACCAGTAAAAAGGTATCTTGTACTCCTATAGCGTATTCTGCTTCCTATCTGGGGAATTATACTGCTATAACCAAAATAGTTATACTGGTGTAAGCACTTTTGGGGCTTGGCTACACTTGCGAGTTACAGCGCATTAAAGCAGCTCCAGGCACCCTAACTCACGACCCGTCCACACTGGCAAGGCACGTAGAGCTCCTGGACTCTGCAGCTGGAGCGCTCCTGGTAATCCACCTCCACCAGAAGCATAACGCTTGGTGCATCTCGGCTGAAATGCCCCAGCGTCAATGTGAACAAGGTGTTGCATTACTGCGCTGTGATTGGCCTCTGGAAATGTCCCATAATCCCCTGAAGTCAAGTGGCCACTCTTCTCATTGTTTTGAACTCGCTGTAGGAATGCAGATATGCCCTTTCAAAGCTCCATTTCTGACAGCTGGCATGCTCATCTGCTCCAGGACAAAGCAAGCTGTTACTGTGGAATGCCGTGTGTGAGAGAGAGGCGCGGAGGTGAGGGGGGGTCTGCTGCTGTCTGAACTTACAAGACAGCATGCTTACATACACTAAGCCCCTCCAAAACCCACTCTCTCTCCCCCGACATACACACAACTCACTCCCTGTCACACTCCACCCCACCCTCCCCCATTTGAAAAGCATGTTGCAGCCACTTGCATGCTGGGATAGCTACCACAATGCACTGCTCTCTGTGGCATTGCAAGAGCTGCTAATGTGGCCACGCCAGTGCGCTTGCAGCTATCAGTGTGGACAGACTGCAGCGCTTTCCCTACTGTGCTCTACGAAGGCTGGTTTAACTCACAGCGCTCTACATCTGCAAATGTAGCCATGCCCTTACACTGAGGAAAATTAATCTCAATTAACTAAGGGCTTGGCTACACTTGCGAGTTAGAGTGCATTAAAGCAGCCCCGGGCGCCCTACCTCATGACGCATCCACACTGGCAAGGCACGTAGAGCGCTCTGACGCCATGGCTAGAGCATTCCTGGTAATCCACCTCAACGAGTGGATTAACATTTGATGCGCCCCCGCTAGAGCGCCGCAGCGCCAGTGTGGACGCCCTGGTCTGTCAATGCGCTCTGATCAGCCTCCAGAAGTGTCCCACAATGTCTGTTCTAGCCACGCTGGTCATCCCTTTGAACTCTACTGCCCTGCCCTCAGGTGACCAACCATCAGACCCGCCCTTTAAATTCTCTGGGAATTTTGAAAATCCCCTTCCTGTTTGCTCAGCCAGGTGTGGAGTGCTCTCACCGAATCCTTCCAGGTGACCATGGCTCCAGGTGCCAGGCGATCCCCAGTATGGAGCAACGGTGTGTTGCTGGACCTCATCAGTGTTTGGGGGGAGGAAGCTGTCCAGTCCCAACTGCACTCTAGCCGCAGGAATTACGATATCTTTGGGGAGGTATCAAGGGACATGGTGGAAAGGGGCCATGAGCGGGACGCACTGCAGTGCAGGGTTAAAGTGAAGGAGCTGCGGAATGCCTACCACAAAGCCCACAAGGCAGAGCACCGCTCTGGTGCTGCCCCTGCGACCTGCCATTTCTACAAAGAGCTAGACGCTATACTGGGGGGCGACCCCACCTCCACTCTGAGGACCACCATGGACACCTCAGAGGCCATTCAACAAGGCAGGACGAGGAGGAAAGCGGGAGCGAGGGTGCTGAGGAGGAGGGAGACACCCCGGCATCCCTAGATGCATGCAGCCAGGAGCTGTTCTCAAGCCATGAGGAAGGTAGCCAGTCGCAGCGGCTGGTGCTTGGGGAAGGACAAACACCAGAGAAGGTTCCTGGCTTTTATAAGTGGCTTTCATTTTGGGAATGAAGTTATTCAGTGCAGACTCTTGGGGCGAGGAAGGTTAGGGCTGCATGCATGCCCAGATGCGGAATAGGGAGTTGATTTGCTTTCTCACATTGCAGTAATTGGCCTCAGTGATCTCTTCAAAGGTCTATTCAGAAGTTGGGAAATGCGCTTGTGCAGGTTTCTTGGGAGAGCCACGGTGGTCCTTGTCCCAGTCAGGCTAACATGTCCGCGTCACTGTGCTGTGAGGGGCGGGGGAACCACTGCTGCACACAGGCAAGCTGCATATGGGCCAGGGCGGAAGCCACATTGCAGTAGAAGACCCTCCCTTGCTTCCCAGGTCACCCTCAGCAGCGAGGTATCTTCCAGGACGAACTCCTGTGGAAAATGTGGGGAGAGCGTTCAGTATAGGGGCCCCTTGCAGCTGTTGGCTCTTCCCAAGGCACAGAAACCTAGAAACCTAGAGGACAGTACGGCCGTGAAACTATCAGTCCCCCTTGACCCAGTGCTTACTCCCATTTTGGGGCTCCCGTGGGTTATGTGCGCTCGCTTTAGGATGGGCAAATTATGCTATTGTGTAGACTGTGCTTGCCCTTAAGTACTGGGGAATCATTGCTCCGTCTGGTGTGAACAAAGCTGCCTCTGTTAAGTGTTGCATTTTGCCTTTACAGATGCAACCTTGAGATCTCAGCCGTCGGTGTTATCACCGACCGAAAAACTTCAATGAATTAGGAAGAGGCCACGTAAAAGCAAAGAAGCCATGCTGCATGAAGTCATGCAGCAGTCTCTTAATGAGAATCAAAAATTGCAGGAGTAGAGGGAGAGTGAAAGGAGGATCTGCCAGCAGAATGTGGAGCACCGGCAGAAAAGCGCGGAGCTCTGTCAGCAAAGCATGGATTGGCTGATAAGCATCATGGAGCGCCAAGCGGACTCGATCCAGGCACTCGTAGCCATGCAGGCAGAGCACTACCGCGCTCACCCCCCCTGCAGCCCTTGTCCCAAAACTCTTTCCCTTGTGCCCCCATGTCACCTCCAACCCACTATCCCCAACATCCGGGTTCTTATCGCCACCAGCTGCCTCCAACACTTGCAGCTTCACCACCCAGCCCTGAAAACTACGACCCTTACCCACTGCACTCAACCCCCATCACCATGCAGTATAGCCACCCTGAAGTGCAGCACTCATTGCACAGCACTCCAGACAGGAAGGCTGAGTGCTGATAACAGGACATAACATGATAACAGGACATATGCAAATCTGTGATTGTACCGTTCCCGACCCCGCCCTTGCCCTTTCTGTTTCCCAAGCAGTTGTGTTTCTTTTCAATAAATGGATTTTTTGGCTTTGAAAAATTCTTTATTATTCCATAAAGTAAAAGATACCTTAGCCCAGGAAAGAAAAAGGCACTGCAAGTCAGCATAGCAAACACAGATTCCTACTAACATTGGAACCAAGGCACTTCACTCCCATGCAGGGCACCAGACATTACTGGTGGCTTTCAGCCTCAAATTGTTCCCTCAAGGCATCCCTAATCCTTGCAGCCCCACGCTGGGCCCCTCTAATAGCCCTGCTCTCTGGCTGTTCAAATTCAGCCTCCAGGTGTTGAACCTCCAAGTTCCATGCCTGAGTGAATCGTTCACCCTTCCCTTCACAAATGTTATGGAGGGTTCAGCACGCAGATATAACTGCGGGGACGCTGTCATCAGCCAGGTCCAGCTTCCCATACAGAGAGTGCCAGCGGCCCTTTAAACAGCCAAAAGCACACTCCACAGTCATTCTGCACTGGCTCAGCCTGTTGTTGAACTGCTCCTTGCTGCTGTCAAGGCTCCCTGTATAGGGTTTCATGAGCCATGGCATTAAAGGGTAAGTGGGGTCTCCAAGGATCACAATGGACATTTTGACTTCCCCTACGGTGATCTTCTGGTCTGAGAAAAAAGTCCCGGCTTGCAGCTTCCTGAACAGGCCAGTGTTCCGAAAGATGCGTGCGTCATGCACCTTTCCAGGCCAGCCTGCGTTAACGTCAATGAAACACCCACGATGATCCACAAGCGCCTGGAAAACCATAGAGAAATACCCCTTCCAATTAACGTACTCGGAGGGTAGGTGGGCTGGTGCCAGAATTGGAATATGTGTCCCATCTATTGCCCCTCCACAGTTAGGGAAACCCATTTGTGCAAAGCCAGCCACAATGTCATGCACGTTACCCAGAGTCATGGTTCTTCTGAGCAGGATGCAATTAATGGCCCTGAAAACTTGCATCAAGGTCGATTTTCCCACTCCAAACTGGTTAGCGACTGATCGGTAGCTGTCTGGAGTTGCCAGCTTCCAGACTGCAATAGCCACCTGCTTATCTACCATAAGGGCAGCTCTCAATCTCGTGGCCTTGCGCTGCAGGGTGGGGTTGAGCTCATCACACAGTCCCATGAAAGTGGCTTTTCTCATCCAAAAATTCTGCAGCCACTGCTCATCATCCCAGACTTGGATGACGATGTGATCCCACCACTCAGTGCTTGCTTCCCAAGCCAAAAAGCAGCGTTCCACAGTGCTGAGCATGTCCATGAATGCCACAAGCAATCTCGTGTCGTATGCGTTACTCAAGTCAATATCATCGTCCGAGTCCTCAGTGTCAGTTTGGATCTTAAGGAGTAACTCGACTGCCAAACATGACGTGATGGTGAGACTCGTCAGCATATTCCTCAGCAGTTCGGGCTCCAGTCCCGCAGACCGAATGGGAAGACAGAGCGTGCTGTACAAAAAACGTTGAAAGATGGCACCAAGTGTGGATGGAAGCACAGGGATTGCTGGGATGCGAACCGATGCATCACGGGGTGTTGGGACAGGACCCAGAATGCCCTGCACTCCCCACCGCCTTCCCACAAGCCATAGCGCCAGAATATCAGCACTTAGATGCCTATATGCACATTTGAGTCCCTAATGTTTTGCACCCAAGCTTGGATGCAGAGCATATTATTATAAACAGACAAAACTTACAGAAGAATTAAATCCAAACTAAAATGTAAGGAATTAATTACTGTATGCTACTCTTGAGAGATAAATAAATACAAATATGGAAATGCGGGAGTTAGTTTGCTATGATGTCCTTAACTCAGCCTTTTGTACTCACTTCATCTCATGGTATTGCAGAATAAACAAAGTAAACAACAAACAATAACAATAATAATAATGTATATCTATGGAACATTCCATCACTTGAGGATTTCAGAGCATTTAAACATTAACTAAGCCTCATAACACCATGGAGAAGAATGAAAGAGTTGTTGTCCCTATTTTATAGACAGTGAACCAAGGCATAAGGTGAAATTCATTCCTGTTCAGAGAGCCAGCATAAAACATATGCACCACTTAAGTCTTATTCTGTGGACTTACGTGGCATATAGGTCTTTTGCTGAAGTTCACCCAGAGAGATTAAGTGACTTGCCGAAGGTCATGTGGGAAGTCTGTGGTGAATCTGGGAACAGAAACAAGCCCTCCCAACTCAAAATCCTGTGTTTTACCCATAATACCATCCTTGCCCATAAAGGTAATAAAAGATTCATACATCGTAGGACCTGCTGTTCTATCAGGTCATCCTACCCTATACTAAGACAGAGTTGTCTGTATATGTAAGGAAATAATAGAAAGGGAGGACAGTCTTGTGGTTAAGATACTGGATTTAGACTCAGGAGATATGAGTTCAAGTCCTGGTTCTGCCACAGATTTCCTTTGTGACTTTGGGTAAGGCACTTAGGCACAGATTGTTAAAGGTACTTAGGTGGCATTGTGCTCAGTGTTGCCACACCTGACTGATTTAGGAGCTTAAATCTCATTTTCAAAAGGGATTTAGGCACTTAAGAACCAAAATCCCATTAACTGTCACTGGGATTTTGGCTCCTAAATGCATAAATCCCTTTTGAAAATCAGGTTTAAGCTCCTAAATCAGTTAGGCATTGCAACGCTGACCACAACAATGCCTAAATACCTTTAACAATCTGGGCCTTAGTCTCGCTGCTCTTTAGTTCCTCGTCTCTCATCCTTGTGTCTGTCTTGTCTAGACTGTAAAGTCTTTGGTGCAACTGTCACTCACTATATGTCTGTACAGTGCCTCACACAACGGGGTCCCGATCTCAGTTGGAGCCTCAAGGCCCTACCATAATACTCATAATAATAATAATTTGTATGATACATTCCTGCAATTCAGATTCTAGGAGCTCTATGAGATCAAAGACTTAGAACTCATTAAACACATTCAGTTGAACACTTCAGTAATGTGTGCCTATATTATTGGGATAATGTAGGTGAAAAGTTACTAAAGCTCTGGTATTAATACCAGGGTTAACTTCTAAAACATCCCTTACCTGCACAGGAGTCTCCAGAGTGTAGATATGTTCCCCACGGACATTGTAGAACTTGACGAGTGCACTTTTCAGAATGGAACTGCTACCAAGGTCAGCTAGCTGACTTTGCTTTTCCATGCCTGCTACAGCCAGCAGGTCTCCCTGTGTACACCACTGCACCACTACATCTGAAATCACAAAGATAAGACACCTGTGGGGTAGGACACAACCAATATGGGTAGCAAGTCCCATTATCAAAAGTTACTTAGGAGCCCAACTTTCACTGAAGGTCAAGAGGAATTAGACTCCAAGGTCAGTTAGGTGCTGCAACACTTAATAGAGCAATACCTAAACACCTTTAAAAACTCAGCTCGTAGAGGCCTAAGTCCCACTGACTTTCAATGACTCTTAGGCTAATATGTCACTTATGCACTTTTGAAATGTAATCTGCTCTATCTTTAATAAAATATAACAGGTGTGTAAAAACTATATTGCCTTCTTTAGCTTTGCAAAGAGTCTACAATGTATATCAGGGCCTACATTTTGGATGCAAGTATCAGCAAGGAGCAAAATAATGTATTATAGATGTTATACACAATATACACATCAATACACACACAGCTACTCTCTTTTGATCAATAGGGATCCCTCTCCTACAGACATCTGCCCAGGCCTTTATTTTGGGATGCTGATTTCTGCCCCTGACGCCCTCCAACCCCCATCTACTTCAGCAAGAGCACAGGAATAAGATTTTGCGTTGCTGCCTTCAAGGTCAATGGCAGTTGTGTGTGTGCAAGGACTACAGAGCAGGCCTGAAGAGACTTTTCCCTTTAAACCAGAGATGGAAGGCAGGCCAGGCAAACTCTGTGTTGGTTGGGGATGCTCAGTCTGCCAAGAACCTTTTGAATGCAGTGTTGTTGTAGCCAGGTTGGTCCCAGGATATTAAAGAGACAAGGTGGGTGAGGTAGTATCTTTTATTGGACCAACTTCTGCTGGAGAGAGAGACAAGCTTTTGAGCTTACACAGAGCTCTTCTTCAGGTCTGAGAAATGTACTCAGAGCGTCACAGCTAAATACAAGGTTGAACAGATTGTTTCAAGGGGTCATTCAGAGTGAAGCGGCCCATTAATACCTCTCCAGCCATGGGGGGAGGGGGGAGAACCTATGGGTGGTGGTTAGTAGGTTACAGATTATTGTAATAAACCATAAATCCAGTGTCTCTATTCAGTCATTAGTGTCTAGCAAAGTTATGAATTTAAACTCCCAGGCTCATCTTTTGAAGGTGTTGTGCAGGTTTCCTATGAAGATGAGGACTGAGAGATCAGATATGGAGTGATCGCTTTGTGACAAGTGTTCACCCACAGGAGATAGGGTGTTTTTGTCTTTTATTATTTTTCTGTGAAAATTCATTTGAGAACGCAGTGATAGTCTCATGTCACACACATGGTTGTCACTGGGGTATTTAGTGCACTGGATGAGGTATACCACATGTGACAGGCATGTGTAGGACCCATCAATCTTGAAAAGTGTGTTGTGGAGGGTATTGATCATCGTAGCAGAAGAAATACATTTACAGATTTTGCATCTGCTGTTCTGACAGGGTCTGGTGAGTTGATGTGTGCTGGTCTGTGGGGAGCCTGCTTCTAATGATGAGCTTGGAGAGGTCCTTCAAACAACCCCCCAACATGTGCTGTACCTCATCCAGTGCACCAAATGCCCAGACAACAATGTGGGTGAAACCAGAAAATCACTGCACTCTCAAATGAACTCTCACAGAACAATAATAAAAGACAAAAACACTGTATCACCTATGGGTGAACAATTTTCACAAAGCGATCACTCTATATCTCTATCTATCTCAGTCCTCATCCTCAAAGGAAACCTACAAAACACCTTCAAAAGATAAGTCTGGGAATTTAAATTAATAACTCTGCTAGACATTAAAAATCGTGGACTGAACAGTGACACTAGATTTATGGCTTATAACAACAACTATCTATAACTCACTAACCTCCTACCCCTGGTTTTCCCCTCCCCCCTCCCAATGAATGGAGAAGTATTAATAGGCCACTATTCCATGAATGATTCCTTGAACTATGTTAACTACTTATGCAAAACAATCTGTTCCACCTTCTCTCTCTCACCAACAGAAACTGATCCAATAAAAGATATTACTTCGCCCACTTTGTTTCTCTAAGAACGTTTGAAGACATTTATGGGCAAGAAGTGGTCTTCAAATGAAGACGCAGAAGAAAAATGAGAGTTGGCAGAAAGGATCTCAGAATTGTTTTAAGTTGTCAGCTTGTCATTTTCAGGGACTTCTATGTGCAATTTTAATATGGTTTTGTATTACTGCAACTGTTGCCTTTCTGATGATATTTCTCACTGGGATTATGCTTCTGAACATAACAGAGACAGGATATTTGTTTTTTAAGTGGATTTTTTCATAGACTAGCACGCATGATGTTCCTCTAAATTCTCTCCCTTGAAGTGTTTCTACAGTGGGATTTAATTTCTCTTCCTAGAATACTATGACAGACATATTAGAAATCAATGAGACAGACAGACCAAACCCATTTCTAATAACCTTCCTAATTCTGTTTACCCAAGAGAACAGAACAACCTCTTTTGGGCAAAAGTCTGAGGTGATGTGCTGTGCCATACTTGAACTC